ACATCAATGACAGAAAACATCAACTAGCATGCCCCCCATTGGGGATGTGACCCACAACCTGGGCATGTGCCCCGACCAAGAATTGAACTGGTGACCTCTTGGTGCATGGGTCAATGCTCAACCACTGAGCCACACTAGCTGGGCACTACAAGCACTTTATCATTGCTATCACTTTACCTTTTCCAGATGTGTTATGTTATTAGGTAAACCCGCTGCTCAAGTTTCTCCTTTTTCTAGTGATCTCTCAGTTAACCTTGATAGCTCCCACAAATTTTGTGCCTCAGATTATGTATTAATCTAGCATCTACCTGCAGCTTTTCAAAACTAATTCTACAATTGCTTAGTTTCAAATCTTGCTTATTCATATCTATGGAGCTAAGCACAATAAATGGTGTCACAGGTTCTTTTCCAGGAGATACCAAAACAGAGCTAAACGCACAAAAGTTTGTTGGGAAGTAACATCCATTAAAGGAAAATGGAGGAAGACTAAGCAGGGAGCACCAAAGTTTCTGTCAGGACAACCAGGATCCCTGGAGCAAAGCCTGTCTATCTGAAAAATTCACACTGGGCAGAAATGGTCAGGTCCTTGCAACACCGCCTTATTCAGTAATTGGCTAGAGGATTCTTAGAGAATAGTGTGACCTCAACTTGAAAGCAGAGTTGGACCCTAAAAAAACTAACAGCTGCAGTTGTCAGCTAACTGCATTTCTTGCATCTGAGCAGCTACAAATGGTATCTAATATTATCCTTGTATGCTTCTGTTCTAGGTTTATTCATCTAGCTCCAAGTTAGTCTCAGTAAAATCTTTGATTAAAGGGAACAGTTTTTATTTAATTTTTACTACCAGTGAGGAGCAGATGGCCTGAAACCTAGAAAGCACACAGTAAATACCTGTAAAACTTTATTAAATGGCTAAGTTTAGCCCTTTATGTGTTGCTGAGCAACAGCTTCTGTTCTAAACTTCTTTGGACTGACAAAAAAGGCTGAATTAAACATAAATTAAATTATCCTTAGCCTCTGGTATCCCTAGTATCTTCCCTTATAAACTCATCTGATAAATATCTCATATTTCTACCTGACACTGAAAGCCAAATGTACCACCGCAGGAAAGGGTGTGCATGTGTGGGACAGGGAGTATATGGGAACTCTGTACTTTCCACTCTCTTGCTATGGACCTGAAAGTGCTCTAAAAAATTAATATTTATTAACTATAACAAAGAGAACTGCTTATATGGAATATGATACAAAACAGAGGTTTCTGAGGTAATATTTCCATATTTATGTTATATATAATAGGGAGATATAATATTTTTATCTACAATGAAGAATCTTTTTTATTTTATTATGTAAATAAAATATGATTTCTGATTTTAAGAAAAAGAGAAACTATCAGAAAAAAAGGAATAATTACCTAACATTCTGACACGTAAACAGCCACTATTAAAATCTTTATAACAATGCTTTCATGTATTTTTCACAAATATGTAGTATAATTAAAAAGTTAGGTTATATTTGAGAACCTTTATTAAAAATTACAATATAGTAGCAGATTAACAGTTCACCAGGCTTAAAAAAATAAATCTATAAACCTTCAGGAAAATATAGTTAATAATAACTAATGGAATGGGTTCACAGGAGGATTGTATTTGAGAACATTTCTGTTCTAGTCTATTTTATAAAAACATGGCAAGTTTTTAGTAATGAGATATCTGAATCTTTGGAAGGGAAAAAATCAATAAGATATTCTAGAATTCAACCAAATCAGCAGCTGTAAAACATCACACCTTAGTATAGATGACTGCCATATTAGATTATACCTGGCGTTTCCAGGAACTTATGCAATGCTATAAAGGAGTACAAATGTAAACATTCAGTGTGTTAGCAGTGGTGCCAAGTAAGAGATCCCTTTCAGAGAAATTGGATTGGATTGTCCTATTGATCCCTTTCCTCATTTTGCTGATAACTAGGGAGAACATATGCACCCTCTCCAGAAGTGTCAAGACGAAGGGTGTGATGGTTCCTGACTATCACTCTTTCTTATCTCTTACATGCTTTCTTTCTTTCCTAGCAAAATATGTCTAAACCAGTTTAAGGAAGCATTAGCTATGAGGGTGTGGGGCAGGTGGGAAGGGTAAGCTGTCTCTGAGATAAAATATGTGGCAAATTGCTTTCCCTCTCTGAAGTTCTTTCCTTTGGGCTTCAAAGGTTGTGACTTTCTCTCATACTGTATCCCTTCTAAAATTCATGTTTGCAATATAGGAACTAAGCAAAAAGAGACTATTCAAGTTAACAAATCATAGATAACAAAGAGTATCTCATAGTCTAACCCAGATTACTAAAATTTTGCAATGGAATTTTAGGTTAAAGCCAAGTTAGTAACCACTTTGTTTGCTATTATTTCGTATACATATATTTTTCTGGGTGTCATCTGAGGGAAAGGGTTGACTATGCCAGAGCAGATTTCAAATATTCTTAGGTGTCTCAGCAAAATCAATAATAATCAAGTTTTAGTATCTAGAGTCCCCTAAAATTCATTATAATAATACACAAGCTTCCCTAAAACTTGATCTGATCACCAACATAATTCTATACTAATATCAGCCTTTTATGCAGGAAGAACAACACTCCTCTGACCAATAGCTAACGCCATGTATAAAGAATGTACTTAGCAATTGTTGCAGACCCTTAATTTCTACCATTCTGACCAAGTTTTTAATAGAGTCCTTCCTCTTTGCTCTTGCCTTTGGTTCTGTGTCTCATTTAAAGTTTATTTTTGCACCATAAATTCTAGGTGTTTATATAACTTCTGACTTTGCAGCACAACATTTCCTTAATGAATGTAACTTGATCTCACTCCTCTGGCTCTTTCCATGAATAGGGGGGAAGTTTTAAGCCCTTTTGACAAAAAATATTTCATCCCAAAACAGAAGTAGATTCAGCCATTGATTACTTTTACTAAGTACTGAAACTTGAATTCCATTCTTGACTAGTCCTTTCCATTACTTTGCTAAGGGCATCTTTTTGTAAAATGAACTCCTAATATTAAATGCCAATATGTCCACACCTCCTCCCTTTCATCTACTCCCTAACTCTTTCAATGTTTCTTGGATCGTAGGTTCTCTAAAGCACTGTATGCTATCAATTGTATCACTATAGTTGTTAATAAACCAAGCTCCAAGTCACTAAAGAGTAGATATATGAGCAGTAAAAACAGTAAAAGAATAATTTATCAACTACGTGAGTTGAAGAAGAGAGTACAAATAAAGCCAGCAGGAGGTGGAACAACAATTTTAATACACACATGAATCTTACAATTAAAAGTCATTTCAATTACTTTGAGAAACTGAGCTAAAGATAAGTTCTACAATGTTCTGTGAATGGTAGCTATAAACAATGAAAACTTGTATAGGACAATGTATAAATTTATAAAATATAAATAAATAGTTCCTAATAATAATGACATTAATAATGATGTAGTTAGCAGAATTATCAATAACATCAACAGCCTTTAGAACACTTGTAAAGAATATATTTTACCAAAAGATTCATAACATTCAAAATACTTCTAAATCCCAATATAAAATTATATATATTCTATGTAATGCATAGATATTAAATAAAATAACCTTTGTAATATGACTATTTTATTCCTACTGATGCCCATAATAGCCATAACATAACTATATCCCTATATATAAATATATGGATATGTGTATATGTATATATACATAGATCAGTAAATGAGTATTTTTAAGTGTGTGTGTGCGTGTGCGTGCGTGTGTGTGTGTGTGTGTGTGTAATCTCCAAATTGTTCATCAGCATATCCCAATTGGTTGCAACACTCAGTGAAAGTGTCCTTTGTATAAAGCATATAAAAAGCAAGTGACATGCCTAAAATCAGTGTGTTTATATTCTACATGGAGGGCCAAAACACACTTCACATGAAATTTATAGTTTTATAAAGCATACTATCATCTGGAGCAAATTAATACAGTTGGCAATGAGTGTTCATGAGGGAAAAGTTGCGAGGAGGATACCTTTGCCTTTTAAACCTGTGTTTTTATTCAATGGATAACTTGTGAGATTTAAGGGCTTAAGGATGTTTCTCTGCTATATTTAGAACACATGTCCTCATTGAAATCAGACTAATGACAATCTGGACCTTTATGCAGACCCTTCTAATCATGTTAATATAATAGCAATATTTGTAGCTCAGGCTGCTCAGGAATAGGTTCACATATGAAGCAGTTAATCTACCACACACACAGTGCTTTACAAATCATAAAATGTTCAATCTTGTTCATTATACTACAATATCGTCTTCATTTCCACCATTACCTAATGTCCAAAACAAAAAGTACAAACTCTGGTGTCAGAATACCTGAAGATAAATCTTAGCAATGTTACTTAAGTATGTGGCTTTGGTAAATTAACAAACTCCTCTGAGACTTAGTTTCCCTGTTTATGAAAATGAGAAAAAATACCTATCTTACAGTGTTTTGGAGGAAAAATTACGTATCACATGCAAACTATCTAGTGCAGTGCCTGGTACATGGTAGGCACTCAATAAATATGTTTCTTTTTAGTTCCACTGTGTCCTCAAAGCAGTGCATAATTCAGAATAAAACAGGGAATAAATATTATGCTATATGTAGAATTCCTTTAATAAACTACATGTTTATGTTTTAAACTACTAAATAGAAACTTTATGTTACTATTAATATCTCCTTCTAATAATTAATAAGAGAAATATATATGTATATATACAAAGCATAAATTATAAAATAGTTGTGGTACGTTTAGTTAATACATCACAAAATTATATTTGTACCACATTACATATGACTTCTCACTTCAAGAAATCACAAGCAGAATATTAACAATATAATAAATATATTTTTAAAAGACTGAAGAAATACTCACCAATGTTATGTAAATTATAATTATAGAATCTTAAATAAAAATATTTCAAAGAAAAGTAATAAACTAATTATACTTACATATTTCCTTCGTGCAAGCTTTCCTGTTTTATTTGTTTCAGACTTTAAAATGAGATCCTTAAAAACCTTATCTTCATATCTTTTGTGTGTGCAAATACATTTTATGTCACGTTCATTAATAACTTTTTCTTGTTGTTTTTTATACAAAAACAAGGAGCTGAATATAAGTGGGGAAAGTCATTTAGTATTTTGACAAAACAAAAGAGAGAGAAAAAGAAAGAAGCTACATCTTAGAAAACATGGTGGCAAGCCTACTATAATATTTGTGTTCATGTTAATGCTATATAAGACTAGGCATTAAGATTTGCCCATCAAAATTCATCCAGAGGTAAATGAGTGCTGAGAAATTTGTGGTGATATGAATCCACAAACAATTCTATATATATATCTGACTGTAGTTTATAATATAAAGGCAGAAAGAACATGTCTAAGTTATTCAGAAAAATATAAGGTAAGCTATCTTTATTTTTCCTGTCTGATGAAGAAATAATTTTTTTTCTATCTAGGAAAATCACTGTAGAGCAGTACTGCTCAACAGCACATAATGTAAGCCACAAAACAATTTTAAATTTTCTATTAGCCCTACTTAAAAAAAAATGTTAAAAAGAAATAAGTGATACTAACTTTAATATTGTTTTATTAAACCAAATATATCCAAACTATTACCTGATAAATGAAATAAATAAAATGATATCATGCTTAATAGTGAAGTTTTTGAATGTTATAAAACTTTAATGTTATAAAACTTTTGGCCTTTCACAAACTCCCCCCACCCCACCCCCCACCTAATCCCAGAAGAGCTCTTCTTAGCTGTCTTTTCTCCTGGTTCTCTTTGGTAAACTTCAAGGTGGTTTACAGTCTAGCTTTCTCCTCTCATTGAGATACCAGCCTTCTCTTAATTATTTATCACTTGCTGAGGGCATGGATGATCAGGGCTCTAGTATTCTCTACCTGTTGCAACTGGGTTAGAGCTTTTGTTCTACAAGGGAGAGTTGAGAAGAGGTGGAGAGATCAAGATCTCTTAGCTACTCTTGCCTGGTATAAATTCTCTAACATTTTTGAATTTATTTTTTGAAAGGCCAGACTATGGAGAAACTTATTTCCCAAAATTCTGTTGAAAACAATAATCAGCTGGCAATTAGTTGAGGTAAATAATTGTTGTGATATCAAAGGAGTTCAGATAGCTTAACAGAGGAATCAGAAAAAGGCGATCAAAGACAGCCCTGCTCCAATCCCTGTCATCTCAGGGGTGGCTGCACCTGGCCAATGGTGTGCACTCTAAGGATCAATATCACAGGCTGCCCAATACAGGGGAAATGAACTTCACTAAAATAGTAGAGCCCAGTTATTAAATAAATTAACAAGCAAAAAACAAGTCCTGGGTGAGGAGATCAGTATCCACAATTATTACAATACATTATCTAAAATGTCCAGTTTTCAATAAAAAATTATGACAGGCAAAGAAAGACAAAAGTGTAACCTATACAGATAAAAAGAGCAGGCCTTTGAAACTGCTTTTGAAAGGGTACAGATGACAGCCATCACAACGACTTCAAAGCAGCCATTATAAATATGTTTAAAGGAAATAAACCTCAAGTAAAAGAGGTATAATAACGATGCCTTTTCAAATACAGTTTATCAATAAAGACAGAAGTTATATAAAAAGAGCAAAATAAAAATTCCGCAATAAAAAATATGATAACAAATTTTTTCCTAAAGTAGTTCAACAGCATATTTTAATTGGTAGAAAAAAAAAGAAACAGAAATCTTGAAAAGATTGATAAAGGTTATGTTGACAGAAAGAAAAATATTGAAAACAAATGACTAGACCTATAAAGAAATATGGAATATCATTAAATCCATCAACATAAAATTAATGAAAGTAACAGAGAAAAGAGAGGAAAAAAAGAAAAAAATATTAGAAAAACTAATGTCTAAAACTTTCTAAGATCTGAAGAAATTAATTTACACAACTAAGAACTCAACAAATTACATAAAGAATAAACACAAAGATCCACATCCATACACCTTATAGTAAAACTACTGAAATTCAAAAACAAAGAAAGAGAAAATCTTGAAAAAAGCAAGAGAAAAATGACTACTCATGGAGAAGGGAACCCCAATAAAATTCACTGCTGACTTCTCAGGTGACCAAGCAGTAGTCTGGCTGAGTCAACGCACCATTATATATAGCCTCTCTACCACACATTTTATACTTAACAAAACTATCTTTCAAAACGGAAGGCGATAAGAGGTGGTATCACCAAAGTGGTGACATAAGTCGTTCCTGACTTCACTCCCCCTTACACGAGAAAAACTAGCAACTATGCATGGACAAGATGCCACAGAATGAATCCTAGAACATGGAGGTGAGGCGCAAGCACTGTCCCCAGACCACTGATGCCAAGACGGACTTCATATTAGAAGGATAAAAGGAATGGCTACACATTAACCAAAATCTGCCTCCCAGGCCAGTGCAGCACCACTCCAAGAAGGCTTCTCTGAGCCTATGGTTTCTCTGTAGGGAAAAAGAGACCCCAGGGGTAATATCTTTGCTCCCAGAATTGTGGGTTGCTTCATGGGAGCCCCTACGCTAGTGTCCCACAAAGGTAGCAGAAGGTAAATAATAAAATAGAGAACAGGAAAATAAAAAGATAACCAAACTAAGAGAAGGTTCTTTAAAAAGACAAATAAAATTGACAAATCTATATCTAGACTAAGAGAGGACCTATATCACAACACTTTAAATGAAAAACATATCATTGATATACAACGATATACAAAGGATCAGAAAAGGCTACTATGAATGACTGTATAAAAACTAAATGGACAAACTATAAGAAATAAAAAATTCTTACAAATATGCAAAGTACCAAGACTAAATCAGAAAGAAATAGAAAGTCTAAAACCATAAATCTCTAGAAGAAAACACAGAGAAAAAGCTCCTTGGCATGGCTCTTGGCAATGATTTTTTGGATATGACACCTACAGTGCAAGCAACAAAATAGAAAATAAACCAGTGGGTCTATATCACACTAAAAAGCTTCTGCACAGCCAAAACAACAATCAACAAAATGAGAAGACAACCTACAGAATGGGAAAAATATTTACAAACCATATATTCTATAAAGAAATAATATCCAGTATATATAAAGAACATGTACAATTCAACAGCAAAAATAAATAAATAAATGAATGAGAAAAGAAAGAAATGGGCAAAAGACTTGAGTAGACATTTTTCAAAAGAAGATATATGAATAGACAAAAGGGACATGAAAAAAGATGTATAACATCACTAGTCATTAAGGAAGTGAATATCAAAACCACAATGAGAAATGACCTCACACCTAACAGAATAGCATCATCAAAAAAATAAGAGACAAATTCACTGTTGATGAGATTGTAAACTGATTTAGCCACTATGGGAAACTGTATGTAGGATCTTCACAAAATTAAAAATAGAACTACCATAAGATCCATCAATTTTATTTCTAGGAATATATTCAAAGGAAAAAAAAAACACAAACTAGAAAAGATATCTGTACCATGTTCATAACAGAATTATTTATAATATGCAAAGCATGGAAACAAAGTGTCCACCGATGGGTGAATGAATAAAGAAGTTGTGGTATGCATACCCTTAAATTTGTTTAACTAATTGGTCACACAGTTGCAACCTATAATCTATTTCCCTAGATTATAATCAGCATCTCTTCCTTTCACATGGAGTCTTATTTGCAAACATTTGGCATGATACCAGGATATCTTTATATCAAATAATTATGAGGCAATTAACAATATATATTTCAAAGTTAGTTATCATATTCTGATAGAATACAACATATCAACCTACAACAAATTTCTGTAGTCTTGTTTAACATGGTACACTGTTATTCTTCATATAAATTTTGTGATTCAGGAAAACTAAACTGACATTTTTCTACCAACCTAAAAATTAGGGGGGAAAAGTTTTTCTTGCTTTCTTGAACACAGTTCCAAGCAAATCTTAAATTCAACTCAAAGATTAATAACATACAAAACAAAATCAGTAACAAAATTATGCAACACATTGCCCAGCCAGCGTGGCTCAGTTAGTTGAGCCTTGTCCCATGCACCAAGAGGTTACCAGTTTGATTTCCAGTCAAGACACATGCCCAGGTTGTGGGCTCGATCTCTGGTGCAAGGCATGCAGGAGGCAGCCAATCAATGTTTCTCTGTCATCAATGTTTTTATCTCTCTCTCCCTCTCCCTTTGTCTCTCTTTAAAAAAATCAATAAAAATGTATTTTTTTAAATTTTTTATTTATTTTTTTTGTTACAGATATTTTACCTAATTTAAAAGCCCGGCCGGTGGACTCAGTGGTTGCACGTTGACCCATGCACCAAGAGGTCACCGGTTCGATTCCTGGTCGGGTCACATGACCGTGGGCCAAATCCCCATGGGGGGGGGGCATGCAGGAGGTGGCCAATCGATGTGCTCTCTCATCAGTGTTTCTATTTCTCTCTCCCTCTCCCTTCCTCTCTCTCTCTCTCTCTCTCTCTCTCTCTCTCTCTCTCCAAACAATAAAGAAAAAAAATATGCTAAACAAAATAAGCCAGTCAGAGAAACACAAGTATCACAAGATCTTACTTACCTGTGGAAAAGAATGAACAAAATAAGCTGAAGAACAAAATAGATCCAGAGATATGGAAGTAGGGAACAGACTGACAAAGCTCAGAGGGAAGGGGTGAGGAGGTAGGAAGAGATAAACCAAAGAACTTATATGCACATATGCATAACCAGTGGACACAGAATGGAGCAGTGAAGGCAGGGGGGCAGCAGCAGCAGGGAGGAGGGTGTCTGTGGAGGACAAATGGAGAGACATCTGTAATACTTCTAACAACAAAGATAAATTTTTAAAAATTATATTAAAATAGAAATTTTCTCCTTGTCTTGAGTGTAGACTTCTATATCAGGGGTCAAAAAACTTTTTCTATAAAGAGCCAGAGAGTAAATGCTTTAGGTTTTTGCAGTGCATATTTGGTTTTGTTGCATACTCTTCTATTTTTTTACAACTCTTTAAAAATATAAAAAGCATTCTTCTTGTGTAGCAATCTGCACTGGAGTGTGCCTACAGGCTGTATTTTGCCAACCCTTGACCTATACCATATTCCAAAACATACATATATGCGCGCACACACGCATACTCAGAAACATTTTTCTCCCATTCTGCCTTATAGACATTTGGAGGAAAATAGAAAACAAGTGCATACATACATATTTGGATATAGATATATACATATACAACCTTAAATGTGAATTAACTTTAAAAAATTTAACTTATAGAAATATTACAGAGATACTAGAAAATATATCAGTCTTGCCCATTATAAATAATATGGCTGTGTAAACAAAAAAAAAAAGATTTAATGTACATTTAGTAAAGCTGCACAGCACCTGAAGACCCTCCCATTCTAGCTACCTGTACTGATATATTATTATCTCCAATGTATGGATGACTTAAGGGAACATTCTCCTAAGAGCTAAGATATTGGCATATAACTTAGCTTTAGCCAATTTAATGATTTCTCCCTGAATTTTTACTTTTTAGGAATGATCCCAAAGTGCCAGGACAATGAGAGTTGATGGTAACTGCAGCAGAACCACATGGTGATGCCGAGCTAGTATAACAGACAAATGGAAGCGCCGGAGCAAACTGTTTTCCAGTGGCGTTTTGGCTCAGCATAGCCTCTTGGGGTTACTTTTTTCTCAAGCCCAATTATCATGGCTTCCTGAATGTTCTGTGAGCTTCTTAGATAAAGCTCCAACAAATTATACCATTGCCTAAGTCATTTAGAGTTAGCTTCTGTTGTTTGCAAGTAAGAACTCTAGATGCAACACAGTCTATAATTTTCCAAATGTTCTTGCAGTAAGGATAAGAGAAGTACTTTATTCGTTTTATGAAGAAGTTATAATTAATGGGCTATTCATCAACAAACAACCAGAAAACTACCACAAGCATATTATAATCCTTCTTAATGAGAGTGATGCTATCTACCAGGCATACTATATAAATATAAATACAAAGAGTTTTGAGAGATAATCCACTACTAAAATGCAATGCATTACTTAGATTTCTTTGTATTAAATATTTCAATATAATACTTTCTCTTCTTTTTTACTACCTTTTTATACTACTCTTCAATTTGCCTCTATTAGAGTATCTGTTAAGTAATTAATATTTATCTCACATAACCACATAAGGATTGAGTAAGCTAATTATATTAAAAAGAGATTTAAAACATTAAACATGAAAAAAATATATTTCAGTAAAAATAATCTATTAACTGCCCAGCCAGTGTAGTTCAGAGATTGAGTGTCAACCCATGCACCAAGAGGTCACCAGTTTGATTCCCAGTCAGGTCACACGCCCAGGATGTGGGCCAAATCCCCAGTGGGAGGCATGCAGGAGGCAGCCAATTGATATTCTCCCTCGTCGATGTTTCTACCTCTCTCTGCCTCTCTCTTCCTCTCTCTCTAAAATCAATAAGGAAAAATATTTTTAAAAATAAGCTAGTAATAATAAAGTCATTATACATTATTTTTATAAAGTAATATATAAAGCTACCGTACCATTATATAACATGTTTGTTATATATGTGAAAATAAGAATGCCATTAGACTGTAATGCTTTAGTCGTTGTTGGACCTTCCAGATCTGGAGAGCACTTCACCCAGAGTAAGTTTAAGAAATATTTTCAAAATGAACCAAGCAATAAAAATTAATACTTACTTGTATGTCTTATCTTATGACATGACTATGAGACAGGTAAGGTACATTTGTATAATTTTATAATTTGTACAAGAAATTTTCATAAAGGAATATTATTTTCCTAGGATCCTAGCAAATGTTAGCAGAATAATAAAAATGTTTTATTTAACTCTGATACGTAATATGTAGACTTCAGTCCTGTACCTTTAATTTAATATCTTTATAGCCTTAGGCAAGTTATTTATGAATTGATTATGTTAAATAAGGTAAATATCATAAAATGTCTGAAACATAATGGCAAACCAGAACTTGAATACATGTCTACTAACTCAAATTCACTGCCAACGTGAACTACAGAATACAATTTGAGTAGTAGGGATATTTGGTTATCCCTAGTCAGTTTCATATTATTTTCTAGTAACTAGAAAAGTGGGTAGGAGGGAGTCTTTTATAAGAATCACCTATGACCATTAAAAATTAAAAACCAAATTTGATTTGTACATTTATCTCTAAAACTTCTACGTTTCTCATTTTATAAAAGAACAAGTAAAAAACACAGTATCATTTATATTAGCACTCCCCAAAATGAAATATTTAGGTGCAAATCTAACAAAATATGTACAAGATTCTATTTAAAGAAAACTACATATGAAGCTCTGATGAGTGAAATCAAAGAACAAAATAAATGAGAGTGATTCTGTGTTCATCGATAGAAAGATTCTATATTAACAAGATGTAAGTGCTTCCCAATTTATCTGTGGATTCAACGCAATCCAATAAGAATCCAGCGAGTTATTTTGTGAATATCAACAAACTGAGTATAAAGTTTCTATTGTGATACAAAAAAATCCCCCAAATAGCTACCACAATATTAAAGGAGAAAAAAGTTAGAAAATGAACATCACCTAACTTCAAGATTACTATAAAGCTACAGTGATCAAGACAGGGTGGTATTTGCAAAACAACAGATAAATGGATCAATGGAACAGAATAGAGAGCTCAGAAATCAACAGGCATAAATATTGTCAACTAATCTTTGACAGAGGAGGAAAGGCAACACAATAAAGCAAATAGTCTGCTCAACGAATGATGCTGAAACATAAATCTAGACACAGATCTTACACCTTTAATGAAAATTAACTCAAAATAAATCTATGACCTAAGTGTAAAATGCAAAACTATAAAACTCCTGGAGATAACATAGAAGAAAACCTAGATGATCTTGGGAATGGCAATGCCTTTTTAGATACAACACCAAAGGCACAATCTGTGGGGGCGGGGGGAAGAATTGATAAACTTGACTACACTAAAATTAAGAATATCTGCTGTACAAAAAAGACAAAGAGAATGAGAAGACAAGCTATAGAGTATGAGAAAAGATTTGCAAAACACGTATCTGATAGAGCACTGTTATCCAATGTCTACTAAGAACTCTCAGCAATAACAACCCAATTTTTAAAAAGTGCCAAATACCTTCATAGACACTTCCCCAGGGATGATATACAGATGGTAAATAATGATATACAAATATGCTTCACACCAATGTCATCAGTGAAATGCAAATTAAAATAATAAGGTACCACTAGACAGCTATCAAAATGACCAATATCCAGAACAATGGCAACACCAAATGAAGATTTGGAGCATCAGAAATCCTCATTGACTGCTAGTGGGAATGCAAAAAAGGTACAGCAGCTTTGGAAGAGAGTTTAGCAGTTTCTCATAAAACAAACTATTATCATACAATCCAGCAACCATGCCAAATATTATAAGATATCATTATAGAGTCTGTGGTGTTTTCTTTAAAACTAGTTCAAATCATCTATAAAATACCATTTGGATAGAGAATGCAAAATGTATATTATTGGAAAAAGTGCCTTTTTATAATTGATTGTCTTATCATCTTATTTGAATATTCAAATAGTAAAGAAAATAAAACATACCTCAACCTTTTTCTAATTAGGAAACCACGTATCCATCTTTGAATAATCAAAATTGGTGAATTATGAGCCATGATTTCATTAATTTTTAAAATAATAAATTTGATATTGTTTATTTCATCTTCATAGGTTGATCCCTGTATAAAGAAAATATGTTTAATAATTATATTTCATAAAATTATTTCCAAAAGACATTTTAAACTTGGTAGTCTAATGGTAAAAACTATTAAAACATTAACAAGTATCTTAAAGGCATAGCAGTTGAATAATGTACATTTTCACATATATTTTATTAGATCAGTAAATCAAGAATTAGAAGCACCAAAATGTAAGATCCATTATGATAACTTCCTCTATTCTAGATTCTTCAACCAACCTGATATCATAGATATAAATTTTGACTATAATCATGCCAATCTCCAAAAAGTAGTGACATGAACAGGTATCCAATGAAACTCTAAAAGTATTCTGTAGAACCACATCAAGAAAACATGTTGGATTCATAAAATAATTTAGAGTAGTTCAAAATTTTGTTACAGCTTAACTACAATGTTGGACACTAATCAGAACACAGCACATTCCCCTGGAGAAAGATACATTCTCTATTGCTTTTGAAGAAATTATCTCTAAGATCTCTGTTCCTACAAACTGTTTAGATTTGGAAACAAAGATTTGCTATATCTTACTGATCATTTTCCTGGTTAGTAATAAAGCCAATTTAGTTATTTATTTATTTATTTATTTTATCCTCACCTGAGGACATTTTTCCATTTTTTGTTCAGATAGAGTGGGAGGGAGAGAGAGGAAGAGACGGAGAGAGAGAAACATCTACGTGAAAGGGACACAGAGTGGCTGCCTCCAGCACGACCCAAACAGGGCCAGGGACAAACTGCAACTGAGGCACATGCCCCTGGCGGGAACCGAACCTGGGTCTCTTTGGACCGCAGGCCAACGCTCTTAACTGCTGAGCCAAACTGGCCAGGGCTTTAGTAATGTTTTGAATGTTAGGGTTCTGCCTTAAAAACCTAAAATTTGTTTTGTTGGTAAGGCACTTTCCCTCATATTTACTTAGAGAAAGAGGAAGGGAGAGATAGAAACATTGATGTGAGAGAGAAACATCAATCGGCTGCCTCTTGCATGCCCCCTACTGGGGATGGAGCCCACAACTCGGGCATGTGCCCTGACCAGGAATAGAACCGGGACCTCTCAGTCCATGGGACAACGTTCAATCCACTGAGCCACACCAGCCAGGCAAAATAATGCACATTGTAAGTGTTTACAAAGATCCTATATATCTTAATGTATTTATTTGATACTCAAAAAATAGTCTAAAGTAATTTACTAAGCAATTTATCCAAAATTACATAAGGTAAAATTATGAAATAAATTAACAATAAAGGGAAATTAGTACTAATATTTTCAATCTAATAAAAAGAATTAAAATGTAGTAAAAGTTTGGCAAAGAACAACATACATTTGGGCAGAAAACTATCAACAATCATCAAAATAGATGGTTGAATAATAAAATATCTATGGTCTACCACCTGCTATAGGACCCCTGATTTAAAATGGGGCTTTGCTAACCCTGGTATAACATATGGTGAGGCATTTCAAAAGAACTTCTATAATATAACTCAAATGGAAGAGAATACTTTGTGTTCTAACAGAAAGAGTAGTAGAAAAACCAATTGTAAAACTAAATTCTATTGCTATTGTATATAATTATCCTGATTCCCAATCAACTTGATATTTATTTATTTATTTTTAATTGATTTTAGAGAGGGAGGAAGGCAGAGAGAGCAACAACAGTTTTCATATTCATTTTGTAAAATGGGTTTATCACATATATCGAATTATGAGTGTTGCACTATCCATTCATCACAGTGATAAATACCACTTGATTGTGGTATATAATTTTTTTCCTGTATCATTGAATTTGGGTTCTAATATTTTGTTGAGGATTTTTGCATTTATGTTCATCAGAGATATTGGCCAAAGTTTTCTATATTTGTACTGTTCTTGTTTGGTTTTGGTATCCAGGTACTACAGTCCTCATTAAATGAGTTTGGAAGTATTCCCTTCTATTTTCTTGGAAGAGTTTGAGAAAAATCAGTATTAATTCTTCTTTAAATATTCTTTAAGAATTCTCCAGTGAAGTCACTGGTCCTGAACTTTTCTTTGTTGGAAATTTTTTGTTAACTGATTCAATCTCTTTACTAGTGATTTATCTATTCAAATTATCTATTTCCTTATAATTCAGTCTTGGGAGGTGGTATGTTTCTAGGAATTTATTCATTTCTTCTAGTTTGTTTGTTTGTTTGTTTGTTTTTTAATTTTTTTCCTTTATTGAGTTTACAGAGAGAAAGGAAGTGAGAGGGGGAGATAGAAACATTGATGATAGAGAACATCGATTGGCCGCCTCCTGCATGCCCCCCACTGGGGGCGGGCCCACAATCTGGGCATGTGTCCTGACCAGGAATCAAACCCACAACCTCTTAGTGCATGGGTTGATGCTCAACCATTGAGCCACACCAGCCGAACTAGTTCATCTTTTAAAAAACAGCTCATAGCTTCACTTACTTTTTTTCTATTGTCTTTTTAGTCTCTGTTTCATTTATTTTCCCTCTGATCTGTATTTCCTTCTTTCTAATAACTTTGCTTAGTTTTTTCTTCTATTTTCTAGTTCTTTGTATGGTTTTTTGAGGTGTAAAGTTTTGTTGTTTATTTGAGCTCTTCCTGTTTCCTTAATTTAGGCAATTATTGCTATGAACGTCCCCTTAAAACTGAGTTTGCCACATACCATAAAGTATGTTGTAATTCCATTTTTATTTGTTTCAAGATAATTTTTTAATTCTTGCTTGATTTCTCCTTTTACTTTTGGATGTTCAGTAGCATACTGTTTAATCTGCATAAAATTATGAAATTTCTGCTTTTCTTCTTGTGATTGATTTCTAGTTTCATATCATTTTGATAGGGGGAAAAATGATATGATTTCATTCCTTTTAAGTTCACTATGACTTGTTTTGTGGCCTAACATAGGATCTATCCTGGAGAATATTCTATGTGTGCTTAAGAAGAATATGTATGCTGCTGCTGTTGAATGAAATGTTCCATAAATGTCTGTATTATCCATATGCTCTAAGGTTTAGTTTAAGTCCAATATTTTCTTTTGATATTTTTGTCTGATGAGCTATCCATTGTGAAAAGTGGAATATGAAATTCCTCTAAAATGACTTATGCTATCTACTTCTCCTTAAAAGGATGTTAATATTTGCTTTATATATTGTGATGTTCCTATGTTGGGTGCATAAATATTTATAAATATATCCTTTTGTTGGAAACACCTTTTATATTATTATATAATGACCTTGTTTGTCTCTTATTAAGGTTTTTGGCTTAAAGTTTACTTCATCTGATATATGTATACCTATCCCCACTTGCCTTTGCTTTTCATTTCCATGGAATGCTTGTTTCAATTTGCATGGAATAGCTATTCCTTTTATTTTTCAGTCTATTTTCTCTCTTGCTCATATTTGGCAATTTCAACTGTTCTGTTTTCCCTTTCCCCCATTCTTTCGTCTTTCGCTCTGATGTTAAGTTCACGCTGCTGTTAAGTTCATCCACTAAGCTTTTTTTTTTTTTTTGGCTATTGTTTTTTTGAGTTTGCAAATACCATTTGATATTTTAAATCTATGATTACTCTGCTAAGACCTTCTATTTGCATATGTTTTAAGCATGTTTATACATACTCACTGAAGCATTTTTACCATGGCTGCTTTAAAATCTTTAACAATTTTATCTTGTTAGCATCTACTAATTGTTTTTTTTAATTCAGTCTACAATCTTCCAAGTTCTTTTTATATTAACCAACTATTTATTGAAACCTAGATTTTGCCCTGGCTGGTTTGGCTCAGCAGTTGGAGCATCGGCCTGTGGACCAGAGTCCTGGGTTCAGTTCCCACTAGGGGCATATACAAAAAAAAATAAAAGAAAGAAACCTAGATTTTATTATGTTATAAAACTTTTAATTGTATTTAAACCTCCTTAGCTGGCTTCTTCGACTTTGCTCCACTAGGGAAATGTGTCATTATCTTGTTACTTCTAGAGGTAGGCAGAAGCCCAGGATCCCCACCACTCAACCTCTATTAACCCCCAATTGTTGGGTGAGCAAGGAAGTTTCAACTTGTATGTGATCTTCATTGACTCTGCCATGGTGGCCTTATTACATCTAATCAATAGTGAAAATCCTTATCTCCATTAGGCCTCCTGTGACACCATTCCAGTGAGTGTTGGGTAGCCTCATCAGAGCCTCACAAGGGAGCAGTCTAGGCTCCCCACTCTGCCTCTGCTGACACGGGTGAAGATGCAATCACAATTTCTTCTCTGGCTTTGACTGGAGTAGTGTGCTTATTATCTAAACATTACCTCTTTATCTAAACTGAACCTTTCTTGGTCGTTTGGACAGAGAGAGCAGACTTCCGTTAGTATTTTTGGTGTTTTGTATGGTGATTTGCACATTTTGGCTTTTCTGGGTTACTGGTTTCTTAAACTTCAGTTTTAGGATATAAAAAGAGAAAAAAAAAAGCAAAACAGAAAACTTACTTCACCACTATATGATTGTCTTAGCCATTCTGTTCTCTCCCATTCACAGTCTTTTTAGGTTTGTTGTGTATATAATATCCAAAAAAAATTATATAATCCATAGTATATAATATTACAAAATTGTTATATACTTAGTAATAATTTCATAATGCATACAAAGTCCAGGAAATTGAGTTATACATCTATTCTATCTTCCCAGAAGTAGAATACTGTATGCATACTTTTTAACAAAATAATTTACAGAGATAAAGATTTTATGTTCTCCCACTACTGTAATATTTTCTATCCATCTAATCTCATACTTCCAAACATATTTGTTATATGTTTTTGTATAATACCATTTTGTACATTAATGCTCAAATAAAAATATTTTTATTGTAGCAGTTATTTTTATATAATTTGAAAGAGATCCCATTAATGCCATTTAATGATATGTATACTCAATTATACATTTAAAACTAGTGTTAAAGTCCTCTGCTTTATTCAACTTAATAATAGTTACTTAGAATTCTGCTTTTAGTTTTCTGTGTTATTT